CATTCTTGCTAGATTTAGGTGCCATGTGTATCAAAGAGATCAGACTACAATATCATAATGGCCCCTTCTGGCCCTAAAATATATTAATTCTTTTTACGGTCCATTCTTGGTGTGCAGTGCCTCTCATGTATAACTTTTTGCCTTGGAAGTACATGCAGAACAGAAGTCCCAAAGGTACAGCCCATTGGGTTAGCAGCAGTTACCAGAGGTGGGGGAAGGGCCTTCTGCAGAATCTGGAGTCCCTAGTCCCTGATGGACATGGCTGTCAGCAGTAGGGGGACAAGCCTGGGCTGTGCAGATACAGCCCATGCTTTCCCTGCACCTGCCACTGCTACCAGACTGTTGCCACTGGCCACATGGATCCGGCCCAAAGTGAGTTTGACATCCATGTATTCTGTCTCTCCTTTGCCTGCACCAAAGGAATAAAAGGCAATGCCTAGCTTCTCTTTATCTCAGTTAACTTTGACCGGGGCAGAACTTGTGTCCACACAGGTGTGGTTTCAGCCCTACTGCGTTTAATTCATTGATAATTTTTTCTTCAATCTTTTAAGTTCTAACACATTTTTTCTTGTACTCGTTGCCTGCAGGGGTAAGGGTGGGGAGTTTGCCTTAGATCACCTAAGTTCCTTAACCTAAAGAGGTTTCATCTCTGCCTCAAAGTACCAGGCCACACTCTTCTGTTCCAACTTGGCCTCCTCAAGATATCCAAGCTTATATTTCCCCTTTTGTTTGGAAGCGGATTGTTCAAGATATCTGTCCAGTGCCTACCTTGTTCTATGGATATGGATGAAGAGCTTGTCTTCCTTCTGGTTCTTGAGTAAGGTTAGGCAAGACTACATGGCTGATTATTCTGGCCTATACCTGGATCAAGTGAGGTAGTTTTGGTTCCCAGACTTTGTGTCATCCTAGGGTTCCAAGGCCGTACTGTCGGTCCCAGACCTGTCCTACAAAGACAAGAGATGGATATTCACTCAGATTTGAACACCCTTCATCACATCACAAAATTATTTTCTCTTCAATTAAAAATACACATGTATCAACATCAGGAAATAAAACTGGGGCAGATCTGTCTGACATGTTGTAGGATGAGCGCCCTGATTTTTACATGAGACCCTTACCCCAGCAATCTAGATTGTCTTCAGGAATTGAAGCATGTGACCTATCTTAATTTTATTCAGTGTGTACCTAGCTACTTTCTTGTCCCATCATTTGCCTGTGGATAGTCTTCTCCTATTCTTCAGAAACTTCTGAAGGCCTGGGCTAAAATGTTCTCCCTAAAGAATACAGTGCCTAAGACTCCATTGTTTGAACAGTTGTTGTCTTAGCTCTCTGTGAAGATGACATTTTTTTTAATCAGGTGTTACTTCAGTGAGAAGGGTGGGTGAGATCCAGACACTACTGGCAGATCCACTTGATGCCATATTCCACCCAGAAGGTGCTTCCTTGCAAAAAACCAAGCTTTTTCAAGTTACTATGACTACCAGTAACCATGGTGACAGACAATCTGAGCACAGTAGTCTCCATCCAGAGACTGTCAAAGCAGACCTTTAACTACATCAATGTGCATTACAAGATTATAAAGGGGAACCCCTGACAGGACTCAGAACACACAGTCAGAATGCGGGTGGCATCTGTAGATGTCTCTTCAAAATGCCTAAGTTTCAGACCATTTGTAAAGTAGCCATGTGGCACTCCATTCATACCCTTCCCCAAATGCTGTGCCATTGCTTAAACTTCCAGACTGAATGCTGGATTCTGGAAAGCAATTTTGCAGTCTCTGTTTACGCAGAGCTGGGACATCATGCCTCCAGGTGAATCGGGTATTCTTGAATTTGCTCAGAGTGGAATGTGCATTTAGACAAGCAGTGGAAGGAGAAAGAGGCTACTTACACTGAAAAGAATTGGAATTCCTGGTGTCCTCTTCTTTGGCCATCCTGCATCTGACTTTCCATTCCTCCTTGCTTGGAGTCTCCCAGCTACCATAAAGAGTCTTCTCTCTTTGTATGTGGACACGATTCACTTTGTTTCCCTGAGCCTAAAGCTATGCACCACCTTGTGAATGAAACTTGCCCCCCTTGTAAAAAAACAGGTGCAGAATTTTTATAATTCTCTCATCCAAATATTTGTTTAGATGCATCAAGGTTTATAACAAGGGAAGGCTGGTTACATTTGTCTTCTAGTGGGTGAATGACTGTGTCCTGATGGTCATCAAGATGGAAAATCATGATCTCTGGGCAAAACTTGTTTCACTTTCTTGGGTCCCACTCCTCTTTCTTATCAGTCTCATGGTTTGGGAGGGCTGAAAAAGTCTCTTCTTCTTCAGCAGAGTGGCCACATAGTCCCCTTTGATCTATCTGTGTTCCCCTGCTAATTTCACTCGCATGTCTCCAGACCAAGATGCAAGAAGACAGGATTATGACAAACATGACTAGTCTTCAGTAGGCTTCCATTAATCAAAGTCTGATAGCTGGAACCCCAAGTAGAGATTTAAGAACATATTTTGTAATTATTACAGCAAAGTCATCTTAAAGAACTGCTCCAAGATTTTGATTTTCTTTAGTGACAGAATTGCTCCGATACAGAAATGGAAACCTGTGGGCCAAACAATTTGAATTTAAATGCTTCCTAAATGATTAGTGATTAAAGATTGTACAGTGGGTCAAAATCAGGTTAATTTTGACTAAACATGCAGTAATGTTTTTTCCATTTTCAAGTTTAATTGTAATTATCAAATTTTTAAGATTCTCTATTTTAAATAAGTACTTCTGCAGCGGCTGAATGATAAGAATAATAATATCACCTATATATCAGTATCCTTTCAATATGTAATCTATGGATTTGTTGAGCTGGTACTTGCATTGGAGGGTTATTTTGTACAGCGGAACATTTTGGGAGATGGTTCACTTACATAATTTTAAGTAAAACATTCTTTCTTTTGCTTTTTCCACATTGACCAAGACTCTTTGATCCGATGCTAAAATTGGCATAAAATGTATTTTCTATGGAAGGAGGACTATTAAATAAAATAAATAAACCTTGTACATTCATATTCACACAATTAAAAGCCAAATAGAAACAAATTGTTCAGTTTGCCATCCTCTCTTAATATTCTCTTCTGTTATTCCAGCCCTCTAGGGATCTGGGTAGAATATAGTATCAATAGATTTTTTTTGTTGTCAATCAGTGCTGGGTGTGTGCAATTTGAGACTCTAAACATGTACATAAAGCATCTGTGCGTGTGTGTCTATGTGTACTGTTTAAGAGCAATTAAATGGAACTTAATTTGCATGTGGAGCTTGTCAGTAGTATCTAGGATTGTGTGTAATACACAAGTAACTGGTTACTGCTAGAGAAGCTTAGACATCAAATCCTATTGTAAGCATTTTGATGAAAAGATAATGAGCCATTTTTTTTCCCAAACTCAGGGAAAGCATACAAAAAAGAGCCACTGTTACCCACCCATGAACAGAGATCATCGCAGGATCATCCACGAGCTAGCTCAGATCTATGGCATTGAAAGTGTGAGCTATGACAACGAACCGAAACGCAATGTTGTTATCACTGCGGTGAAGTATGCAGTTTATTTTATTTTAGTTTGCAAAGTCATTCATGTGAGTTTAGGCATTACAGTATTAGCACAGTCTAGTACAATTGATGCGTTCTTTTAAAAGCATTTTGCAAATGAGAGAACTTTTTAGCCATTTTAAGTGCTCTAAGCAGGTTTTAATTGGGAAGCAACACAGTCTAATAAACTAGAATAATTTGCTTGGGAGTGTGTCTTTTGATACCCCTCAGGTCTCCCATTTTTTAGCATGACAGTACAGTCTAATGACTAGTCCCCCTAATAGCTGTGTCTTGTTGTAGTTCTTGCCTCTCATCACCAGAGGTCACTGCTGCTGAGCAACCTAGAGTTGCAAACTGCCCTATTCCTTAGGCTGTTCACTGCCTTACCTGCCAGCTTGTCACAGCCTCAATTTTTCTGTTTTTAAAAGAGGATGGGAGGTACTTGGGTAAAGATGGGAATAGAAGGGACCTTCATTAGAGTCAATGGGGAATCTCAAGTTGGAAAGGAAGGAGAATACACTGGAAGAAAGGAGAGCAAGTGGAAGAGACTCATGAAAAAGTCAGAGGAGGGGGACTAAAAGCAGTATAAAACTCTTGAATGTCATAAGCTTTGTGGGCAAGGTGCAAAGGTAGGCTCCCTACCCCCCAAAACTAGGGTAAATCCCTTGACACCCCAAACAAAGGATGCATATTCTCAAAATCGTTGAAGCCACAGAGTCCAGCTGTCTGGAGATGACAGCTAAATGGGGATCTCACCTAGTGCCTTCTGTAAGATGTAAAACAGTAGGGGCCAAAGTTTTTTTCAGGTATACCAAAAATTAGCTTGCAGTCTTCATGAATGCCCTTATGATCCCCTTCCCAATCTGCTACTCTGCTTTCTGTTCCTTCCCCAGTGCTTCCTGCCCAATTTGCTGCTTTGGTTTCTGCTTCCTGCCCAGTGTGTCACTGTGCTGCTTGTCCCCTTCCCGATCCATTATGTGCCACACACAGGCTGCATATGCCACTTGTAGCGCATGCCACAGGTTAGCCACTCCAGATGTAAGAGAATGCCAAGCAGGTGGTCCTAAGTACAGAATTCTGATGATGGATAAACAATATGCACATAGGTGGACTGGATCATAAAAATAAAAATTCACTTTACCCTTACTATCAGAAGACTTCTGGACTATTTTTCAATGTTTTTGCCATTTAAAACAAACTATTTTGAAATGAACGTGATTATTTTTAAAAGTAGGTTTTGACGTGGTGGTGCAGAACAAATCCAGTAATGTGGAGGCCTATTAGATTTGATTTTAATTGGCTTGATTTAAACTGGCAAGCTGAAAACCAATTTTAATTTTATTTTGTATTTTTTACTCTCTCCTCTACTAATGGAAGATTGATTCTCATTGATTGCTAACCCTAAAAACGTAGCAACTTTCCTCTAAATGTAGCCATTAAGCTAAGTTCAGTACTACTTCTAACCAGGGTATACAATATATATGTATACGTTTATTTAAGAATGTATTTAGTGTATCATACATGTATTCTAATTTTTAATTTTAAGTTTAAAAAATGAGTGGCATATCCCATATGAGTAGTAGTTAATTTCACTTGATTTGCCAGGCTGTATTTGGATGGAAATTGGAGCTTGAAAATCCTGAATTTGTTTTTCAAACAGATTTATTTAAATAAAACTGATCTTAAATGTGCTGGTGGCATAAGGATAATAAAAGTAGGGCTCTTCAGACAAAGTTTGGACTTTAAAACCTGGTTGTGTAAAAGGAATTTGTCTATAGCTACTGAATTGAACTGATTGCATTTGGTAACCACATCCTTTAGGATTTTAGAGCTTAACCTTTTTTGCAGTTAAATTTTAGCTATAGTTTGGAAGATGAACACAAGCTTTTCTGTCAGGTTTTTTCAAGTCCTAAACTTTGAACAAACGGTTCCTGAACTAGTTAAACTAAAATAAATAAAATATTCACTCTACAGTAGAAGAAGATACCTACAGACTTAATACTTCAATGGACTAGTTCCAGACCATAAGCCACTGACTCCCATCAGTTCAGTGGTTTGACTTGCATTAAAACTTTTGAGAGCAAGCAAGTTCTACTTGACTATTCAAGTGCTAATAATTTTATAACTTATGTTTCAATATAAATGACCATAATTTCATCATTAAATCTATTTTTATGTTTCAAAGTGTTAAATCAAGGCTGTCAATCTCATTTGGCCTTGTGGGGATCACTGGGCTGATTTGCAGGGTCACTGGGCTGATGAGGATGAGCGGTTGGGGGTCACTGGGCTGATTTGCAGTCTGGATTGGGACCATGCACTGAAGCTAGCATGTGGAGCCGGTGTAGCAGGTTGCCACATGCAGCCTGTGCCCCATGCTGACCCCTGTGCTGTGTGCCTGACCTGTGCTGTGGTCTGGCCTGTGTGCCAAACCAACTTGGCACGCTGCATGAGGTACATGGGGTTGGTTGGAGACCTGTAGCCTGAATCACAGGGCTCCATCAGCAGGATTCAGCCATTTGCTTGAAACCCCAATTTAAATCAAAATCCAATTTAAATATAACATAAATCATTTTTAATTTCCCCATTCTACTTCCTCATTCAGCCTAGGAAAGTATGTCTCCGCTTCAGTCCCCCATCTCTGTCTTTGCATTAGCAGGTTTCTGTTCCATGGTCATTGGAAGGCTATGGACCCTTGCAGGGTGTTGTGACTGTTCTTCCATTCCTTCTCTCAGTAGCTGCAAACCACAGGAAGGAAGAAGTTGGGCGAGGGCAGCTACAAGTTGGTGACCATTACTCCTAGCAGCAGAACTGTGCAGACATCTCTCCACTGCCAGAGAAAACAGTGACCTGTAGAGACAGTGACTTTTATGCCTTAATTAGACAGACAGTTACTGGCCCCACCACAAGGGGCATCAACAAATCTACAGAACTGAGTGATAGGAGGTTTCACAGCTCAACAATGGTCTCTTGATAAGGAGATTCATGGTCAGTATAGCCATGTGCTAGTTACGGTCCTTGAAAACTGGGCACAGGATCCTCTCTTCACCTGTGAATCTAATGCACCTTTAGATATGTGGGCCATACCGGTCTCAACTTCTTCTCTGCCAACCCTTAGATCATCATGTCTTACCACAGTTGGGTAACAGTGAAGCAGCCTTGTCTTTACTTCTTAGTTTTTATGCTCAGCAGTAACCTTGGAAAGCCACATTACACCGTGAACAGGCAAAGGTCTCATCAGCTCATTATCTGGAGTGTGGTCACACTGATAGAGCCAGGGAGCCAGGGCCTTCCAAAAAAATTATTCTGAGGTTATTCTACAACAAAGATATTTTTTTCCTTCTTTTTCTTCTTCAGATATGAACATCCCCTCAGTCTGCTTCTTATCCTTTTTAAGGGGCAGGGGATGAGGAGGGGAACTGTTCCCCAAGAAAAAGCTGTTCAAAGCCCTGGTCACTATAGTTAAGGAAACTGCCAACCTCCACTTGTTACACATCTGAAATTTAAAAAGGAGAGACCTTTTTATTCCAGAAAGAAAAGCTATATGCATTCAGATAAAATCAGACTTGCATGGCTAGTTTCCCCTCAGTTGAATCTTGTATCTTCTTTCAGTTTTCTTTCTTAGTTGAATCTTACTCATCCAGGTGGCCCAAATCCAACTCCTTATGAAACTGAAGAAATTTGAGTTTTGGGGACAGACAGGCCTGGAGAGGATTCCCTTTTTTTAGAAGGAATTAAAGATAAGAATCATTTCATCCGAAAGACCTTATTTGTTCTGTGGCAGAGTCTACTTAATGCTGTATAAAGGGCAACCTAATGCAGCTGGTCCGATGTATTTTTTTTCTTCCCCACCCCCCCTTTCTGTAACTAGACGTTGTTGAGTACTGTCAGCAACACTTCTAAGTCAGAATTGAATAGTTTGGCATCATATCACTATATTTAATGATTCAAGATAAAGAAATTTCTTTGTTAAATTTGGCCTTCTAGTATTATGCTCAGTTTAGCTCTGGAATAACTCATACAGCATTCTTGGGCACCAGTGGCTTCTACATTTTGTATTTAATTTTAGTTAAAGTTACCTTTCTAATTGCTGTATTATCACATGCCTCACCTTTTGTCTTTCTAATTCTACCTATTTACATTTTCACTGACATCCTGCCACACTTTTAGCTTCTTTCATTTCTTGGAGTCTCAGAACAGCGGAGACTCCCCATGCCTGAAGAAGGGTGCACCCAAAAGTTTGCCAAGAAATTTTTTCCAACTGCTCAGTTGGTCTAATAAAAGATACCACATCCACTCAAAGAACCCTGGCTGTGTTAGAAGGACTAATGAATTTAATTAATTGTTGGTTAAACTTTCCTCAGCCTCTGCAGAGTGCTGCTGCATGCTGCCCAAGACTTCCTAAGGGAACCCTTTCTGTCCTGCCACATCAGCCAGCACATCACTCTTGTCTTCTCTTGTTTTATCTTCAGCCTACTTGGTCTCAGTGTATCAGTTAGCTTCATCTGCATGGTCTGTCAATCAGTCAAATCCTATTTAAACAGATCAAAGTATTCTAGGAATTCTAAAGCTTTGTTTGTGTCGTAATGGAAAAACACAGGTATAAGGTTTTCACAGAAATTTGGCAGTGGATTAGAAATCATAGAAAACTAGGGTTGGAAGGAACCTCAGGAAGTCATCTAGCCCAACCCCCTGCTCAAAGCAGGACTATCCCCAACTAGATCATCCCAGCCAAAGCTTTGTCTAGCTAGGTCTTAAAAACCTTCAAGGATGGAGATACCACCACCTCTCTGGGTAACCTCTTCCAGTGTTTTACTACCCTCCTAGTGAGAAAATCCATCCTAATAGCTAACCTAAACTTCCCTTGCTGCAACTTGAGATCGTTACTCCTCATTCTGTCATCTGCCACCACTGAGAACAGTTTAGTTCCATCCTCTTTTTAACTTCCCTTCAGGAAGCTGAAGTTGGATAAGTTCACAATTGAAATATGGTATGATTTCCAATAGTGAGGGAAATAAAACATTACAGCAGCCTGCTAAGGGAAGTGGTAGGCACACCACTTCTTTGAGGCTTTCAGATGAAATTAAATATCTTTCTCGACTATATTATTTAATCTATTCTGTGAAAATTCTGTTGTCTGTGTATGTGGGAAGTCAAATCACATGGTCACTTTTAGACTTAGAGGCTTTAGACCCCCTTTACTTGTTACAGTTCTTGTGCAATTAACTGGAAACCAGCTACACATGCAAAGTAGCTATTACACGATAAAAAGCTCCAACCAGCTATAGAGTTTAGACTTTGAAAATGTGTACTCATTTTGTAGCTGGTTGCTATTGAGCTTTAATTTGCATGTGTAGCAGGGTCTCCCCTGTGGCTGGGAGCCCAGTCACCTGACAGGGCTCCCAGTTGCAGGGGTGCATCATGCCCAGCATAAAATCCCTGAGTCCTATGGATCACAGCAGCCACGATCCCCCAGATCCGGGGGTTGCCTGCACCCCTGAGCCCAAAGGATTACAGCAGCTGTGATCCCTGGGGCTCCAGGGTGCAGAAACCCCCTGGCACCTGTAGGGTTGCAGTAATCCTCCAGCCCCAGGGGTTTCCCACACCCCCAGGGTGGGGAGATTGCTGGAGTGGGGATCCTCCACCTCTTGAGTGGGGGGTGAGGTATGGGGCCACCTATGTGGCTGGGAGCTTGATTGGGTTGCCTGGGGCTCAGCTGCAGAAGCTTGCTTCTTGCCCATGTAGGGGGAGTGGAGGATTGGACTCCCCCTGCACTGGCAGTAAAGTGCAGTGGGATCTAATGTGGAATCCTACAATCATACCTCCTGCCATGCGTGTGTGGTATGGCAGGAGTGTGGGAATCATGCCTTTTACCTGCATGTGTAGAGGGGGCCTTTGGCTTTAATTGTTGAAGTTTTGGTCTAGGGCCATGGATATACTTGAACATCTGCGTCCATGCAAAGCTGTCAATCAGCAACAACTTCACCCCATTTGTTGTATCTGTGGTCTCAGTTTAAAAGGCCAGTAGCATAGTGGTTATGTTATAGAAAGACATTTAAAGTAAAATAAATAATGATCTCTTAGTATTTTTTGGTTCCCAGTCAGACTGATATATATATTCAGGTAGCTTTCTTTCCACCCCACATCCAACCGTACCTAAAACCAGTTCAGAATGCTGTACTGCTTACTGCTTTGAGTCGCAATGTGTATCATTAGTTCTTAGAGAATCTCAATATTGATGCAATTTAATTTTTTTTTATCCTTGGTTCTTAAGAATAAGATTATTTTTTTTGAAGTGTGTACACCAGATGTCAAAAATAAAATTACTTTTCTTGTTCTCTAGGGGGAAGTCAGTTTGTCCAAGTAATTCCCTAACATCTGTCCTAGATAAGGAAATGCAGACAAGGGCTCCACCACCTATTCCTCACTACAGACAAACAGAGAAGTAAGAGCCTTGTTGTTGTTTCACATGTTTTTCTTTCATTTAGTAGTCACTAAAGTGACAAGATGGGCCATCGGTCTCAGTCTTGTTACTACATCTTGGTCTTGAACTGCCACACCTTGCTTTTTTAATCCTGGCCTTATCTTGATCAGATTGCTAATGCTCAAAGGTATAGTGATGGAAAGATATTCATTTGAGACCTTAATATCAGAATGGCCAAATTGTTAATATTAGTATTTATAGGAGGCAAAGTTCTTAAAAAGTAGTTACTTTTACAGAGGTCACTGCTTGTTGTAGACCTGTTAGCAGCTTGCTAATGCGTTCTATTGATCCTTGCCACCTATTAGCGTGCTGTAGCATCTCATGTTATATTAATTATTTCAGTTTGGTCATTTGGTTCAAAGTTGGTTTGGTAATTTGGTAGAAATTTCTTACTACTTTTGAATTAAATTTCTTATTCTCATTTATATGAATTTATGGTTTTAATTTCAGGAGTAATGGAAACAGTGGATTACAGAAAGGATTGAAAGAGGAGCCAGTGATTGACTATTTCGATGTACAGGACTGAAATGTTTGATGTGAAATTGTTTGAGCAGAGTGGAGCTGAAGATTCTGATTTATAGTGCAAGGCACTTTGTCCAATAATCCAGTGGTTATATAAAATGTTTTGAAAATGTAACACAATAAAAAGCAATGTTTAGTGAAGAGGGTGAGTAACATAAGACAAACTAAGTAAAATTTGAGCCTGAAATATTGCAAGGTAAGCCAGATTCAGATGGTTGTGTGCAGGTCTCATTGAATGCACCGAGTGTTGTGTGCCTCAAGTCAAACTACAGGTAGGCCTGTGCTACAGACTGTAGTCTTTTGGTAACATCAGTGTGCCTGGAGCTCTGTGCTGCAGCCTACCTGCTTCAGGTACCCAAGCTAGCTTGTTTAAAGCTAGCTTTGGTATCTTTTCACTACACTCCTACTTTCAGTGTAGACACCCTGTGGCTCAACCATGAATGGTGTGAAGATTATAAACAGTCAAAATGATATTTTAAAATGTTCTGCAGACATATAGCTTACGCAAAAACGTGGGTAACGGCTGAAAGTGTTGGTGCATATATACTTTGAGCTAGTATATTTTTCATCTCAGCATGGAATCAGAATAATCTAGACAATGTGAAACTGCATATCCATTATTTTTAGAAAGAGCACATAATTACATTGATGATACTGGGTCATGATGGCAATAAACATTCCAAAGATTCCTCTCTGGGAACCAGTTGTATAACTAAAAATGGACCATTGCACCAGAAACAACTATATATTAATATTAATGGATATGTTTTCAGAATGTTTTCATGTTGTTTTAGTCATTCATTTCTACTTACACACATCACATAAAATGTGAGAGCAATGAGTCTGAGTTATTCTCATACTGAAGGAGACTAAAATGTAGTTGAACTCTACACTGCATAATTGCACTTACATACAAAGGGATATGCCACTGAGGAGCACATTATTTTCACTGGGTATTTGAGATAGTTGGGTTTTTTTCTGGTTTGGTTTTTAGTGAATCCAGTTTTTACTTTTTTAATTTGAGTTCAGAAACATAATGGATTGAATTATTTTATTTGAGCTCTTGAATGATCAGAAACCCAAGTATAGGTTTGGTGTTCACTGAGATGAAATTGTGTGTTTAGGGCTGTTGTTTTAATGGTCCCCTAACTGCTGTATGTATGGCTTTACTGGAGCTTTATACACCTTTCCTCTCCTGCACAAGCTAAAAGCATCAGTATCTGCTAGGTTTATGTTGGAGTATGCTTTGAGTTTGTAGTGACATTTACAAATATGAGAAAGTTTGTCTTAAATTCCTGAAAGTAAAAGTACTTTGGTATACTGGAAATTATATATAGATTTTAAATGATGCAGTTCCCCAAACAGTCTTTTAGACATCAAATTGCTTCAAGTTGATGGTTGTCCTATTGAGGAAGGAACCGTCCTTGGGAAGGTTCAGCTCATGTAAAGCTTTCATATCTCCATTGGTTTCAGTTGAACTGCAGTAGTTTACAGAATGCAAGGATTTGGTTCCTTGTGCTAATACGCTTCTTACCCCTTCCACCATTCTTCTCTGCCTCTCACCTTGTTGACTGCCTACAAACCTAGAGGTTCCTCCTTGTAGCTCTTTGGAGGCAGAGCAGCCTATCCCAGAAAGTCCCAAACCTGTCCCACAGAGTTTGTGGAACTTCTCAGGGTTAGGAGCCACAGAGGCTAACTTTAAAAAGGCTATGACCCCTGAGGTGTTTAGGCTCAAGCAATCTGTAGTATCGGTGCTGCCAAAATGTTATGGTTTTCTTGTATTGCATACGTCTAAAGCTTACATAAATTAGAAAATGACAATGAAACCTGATGCATTTTTAACAAAATTTTGAGACACTTTCTCCACTTACAGTAAGGCAAGATTTTTTTTCCTTTGAATTCTGCAAAGTTTATAGTTACACATGCAATGAAAATAATTTCCTTTACCTTTTATTGGCATTAGGAAATACAAATGAAACTTGAACATGACTGACATGTTTTGATGCGAGTGATCTGCATTTTGAAGCAAAGTAAAGCCTAGATCATGCAAGTAGTTGAGTTATTTCAACTTCTGTTAACTTCAGTGAAAGAGTAAGTTGGCCACCGCCTTGCTTGCAGATCCTTGCATAACTAGGTAGTTAAAACATGAGAGAGCTTTGAATTTAGAGAGGATTTCACTTAAAATGCCTGAAACATCCCCTTTGCTTTCCAATTTGCATGAAGCATTCTGTTTTAACAAATTATGATGCCAGAGAAGTAAGGTTGATGAGGGGCAATCCAGCATCTATTTAGGATCTAAACAGATCTTTCTCTCACTGCGTAGATTTTTAAGAACCAGGTCATTTTAAGTTTACAAGACAAAGCTAATAAATATAATGAATTAACACATTTGAAGAATCCGTTAACATCTGAAGTACGTGTTAAAAAAAATTCTGCACAGTTGTGCCTATACATATATCTCCAAATCTATTTTAATACCAAGGCATTTTAATACCTATCCACAGTCTTAAATTGCATGTGTAGAAATGTTTACCCAGAATTTCATATTTTATTAATTTAAAAATACTATATAACATGTACTTGCTTAGGGAAGCAATACCAAAATAAGCATTTCCTGTTTTTCTTCCCAGAGTACAGTTTTACAGCCTTAACAATTCAGCTGGGTTTAACTGTTGTGTTCTCCCATCTATTCTGGTTTGCTGTTGCTGCAACATCTTTCTGTGACTTGCACGTGGAGTTGTACTCGTGGCTGTAGTTTTGAGATATGTGACAGCTAGTACATCCCTGTACTAAATCTGTGTGCCTGGAAGTACTTTTCTAAACTACCATTTTGTATTTCTCTGAGTTGGCTCTTAGTCTCTTTTCTAAGAAAATACTATAAATAATTGGGGTAAAATCTTGGAATCCTTGAATGGAGAAAGTCTTATAGACATCAGTAAAGCCAGGACTTCTCCTCTGGTCTGTTAATTACATTGCATAGGTTTCAGAACAATATTGTTGTTTGTAAATTGTTCTGTGTAAGCTGCAATAAACAGATCTTACAAAGGAAACTATGGCGAAGGGCAATTGGTTGGAATACACACAACTTTACCAAGTGCTTTTAAACTGTTGTATAAATAATGCAAATTGAATTTTTGCATCAGGGCCACTGTTAAATGGTTTAATGTGTTAAGTGCTCTGATTATTCAGTGCTTAATATACATTGTGTGCATAATCTAAAATTCAGGATGTTCAAGTTAGCTATGGAGACCACTGTTCTTGTGGCAGTTTTTTCAGTATGTGCCTCAATGAAGCAAGCAAAAGAACATTATTCGAAAACACTTTTCATAACTTATTTGGTGAAAGCTTTATATTTCACTTGATTTCTTTCAAGCTTAGTGGTGTAATAGGTGACTTTACTGTATAAAGCTGTAATAAATCTAAGTTGAAATTGCTATGCTTTGGAGTTATTTGCAAGTTCTTACCTAGACATACAAAAGTCAGAAGACTGTTATGACATAAGAAGTTGATAAAGATTTAAGTGGATGAGAAGTCTTTTCCCTCAACTGAAATTTCAGGTGCACTTTCCTGCATTTTAGCAGATCTTAAATTAATGTTCTGGAGGTAAAACATCCACTTCTACCAAAGGTGGGGGAACCTTAATAGCTATTGATTTTTTTTTAATTCACAAATACTGTAGTGTTGAGTATCCAAACTGAACCTTTGGTTAATTGATGTTATCTGAACAGGCTTTTATGCTACCAAATGCTATCTAGGAGTAGACTTTTCAGCCTTGTCCTCACTCCCACTGACTTAAGCTGCAGCTATTAACATGAAATGAAAATGTTGGTTTTTTCTTTGGCAGATGAAATGAAGATAGTTGTTCACTGAAAGCTGTTAAGAGTGTTACAAAGTTAGAAAAACCTTTTGTCTTATGTAAGGGAGAAGACTGGGCATGAGAAAAAAGAGCAAGGGGAAAATCAAAGACTTCGTATGCAAACTCGATTTAGCTGCTGGATTTCAGGGACAAAAAAAAAACTTCAATGAAACCGTCTGAAAACATGGAATTAGAGGAGAATGTTTTCTAGTGGTTTCTTTAGAAGAAATGTGGTGGCAAATGCATTTTTTAACCCTTTTTGTTGGCAAAGGTTGCAAATCCAAACAAAAAAAATGTAAGGATGATCTGAACTTTAGAACAAGCATAAGGCTAAAGAATTTCAAGTTGCACTATGGCATCTGTGAACTTCTGTCACAGCTTTCAGTTTGTATCCCGTCTTGCCTCTTAAGTTTAAAATTTCCTTTTTTATGTAATTTTGGAGCCTGAAGACTTAACATCTGATATGGTGTATAATGTTGATAGGTCTCACCTGAAAATCTCTCCTTAACAGATTGCTTTTACCTTAGTGTAAAGCCTCGGTCTCCCACAACATTTTTGCAAGCAAGATAAGTAAGTATGGGTTGAATGAATGGACTGTAAGATGTTTAGAAAACTGGCTGGATTGTCAGGCTCAATGAGTACAGTAATCAATGGCTTGATGCATAGTTGGCAGCTGGTATCAAGTGGAGTGCCCTGGGGGTCAGTCCCAAAACTGGTTTTGTTCAATATCTTCATCAGTGACCTGGAAGATGGGATGGAGTGCAGCTTCAGCAAGTTTGCAGATGACACCAAGCTGCAGGGATTAGTAGATGTGCTTGAGGGTACGGCTAAGATTCAGAGAGACCTCAATGAATAGGAGGATTAGACGAAAAGAAATCTCATGAGGTTCAATAAGTACAAGTGCAAAGTCCTACATGTAGGATGGAACAATCCCATGCATGCTGTGATACAGGCTGTGGGGCTGACAGCAGCAGCTCTGCAGAAAAGTACCTCATGGTTACGGTGGACATTAAGCTGAATACGAGCCAACAGTGTGCCCTTGTCAAGAAGGCTAATGGTGTACTGGGCTGCATCAGTTGGAGCATTGCTGGCAGATCAAGGGAAGTGATTTTTCTTTTCTATTTGGCACTGGTGAGGCCACATCTGGAGTATTGTGTCCAGTTTTAAGTCCCCCATTACAGAAAGGAGGTTGGCAAATTGGAGATAGTCCAGCTGAGGGCACCAAAATTGTTAGGGGCCTAGGGCACGTGACTTATGGGAAGAGGCTGATGGAACTGGGCTTTAGTTTGGAGACAAGAAGATTGAGGGGGGATTTAATAGCAGCTTTCAAGTACCTTAAGGGGTTGTTCCAAAGAGTGTGGGACTAGACTGTTCTCAGTGGTGGCAGATGACAGAGCAAGAAGCAATAGTCTGAAGTTGCAGCAAGGGAAGTTTAGGTTAGATATTAGGCAGAACTTTCTCATGAGAAAGGTAGTAAAGCACTAGAACAAGTTACCCAGAGTGGTTGTGGAATATCCACCCTTGGAAGTTTTGAAGACCCAGCTAGACAAAGCCTTGGCTGGGATGATATAGAACCATAGAAAATTAGGGTTGAAAGGGACCTCAGGAGGTGCTCAAAGTAGGACCATCCCCAACTAAATCATAGATATAGATCATTTGATCTACTTGGGGGGACAGCCCTGCTTTGAGCAGGGGGTTGAACTAAATTGACCTCCTGAGATCCCTTCCAACCCTAATTTTCTGTTATTCTACAGCACAGATAAAGAGTGAACAGCAGTATGATGGCACATGCAAATGCCCTTGGAATGCACAGATTGCTATTGTTGCTTATTGGCAAATCAAGAAATCCTTCTTTCAAAAATGAGCAGACTTCCTGTGGTGCCTCTGTGGGTGCAGCCCTTTGAGACTGATGAATGGAGGGATTGTGTTTTTACTGTGTGTGTTCCAGAACTCTATAAGCATTAATTATTTATTTGTCTCTAAGCAAAGCTCTGTTGCACTTTATCGTCCCCCTTCCTTCAAATGAGCTGAAGTCTGACCTGAATGTAAGACTGTACAGCCCACTGCAGATTTTTTTCTCCAACTGGAACAGTTGCTGTTCAGCCAGTAGAAAAGTATGTCACCAAGACCTGCAAATGGTATCAGAAAAAGAAGCTCCTGTGCAATTTTGTTGCTGATGATGTAGAAAAAAAAATAGGTTTTGCAAATGACTAAGCCTGAAAGATGGTACCTACATGGCTGCTGATGCCTAAAGTATAGTTTTGTCTACAACATACATGGAGGTGTACAGGCGCTATTGTGGACAAATCATTTAACAAGAAAGAATTTGATGACACATCTTGAGATTGAGATTCAAAATATGTTTCAAACAGCAGCAGTGATTTTTGACAAAGAGTTATGCCAATGGATGGCTACTGATGTGGTTTCTAGATTTCAAATCATAGGATCATAGGAAAGTAGGTCTGGAGGGGACCTCAAAAGGTTTATCTAGCCTAGACCCCTGCTCGAGGTAAGATAATTCCTGACCAAACCTTGCCAGCCAATTATCTGTCTAACCTGCTCTTGAACATTTCCAGAGATGGAGATTCTGCTACTTTTCTACTTGCCTGTTTCCATGCTTGGCCATTTTCAGTCAGAAATTTCTTCCGAACTTCCACCCTAAATTTATTTTGCTGCAGTTTAAGGCCATTGCTCTTAGTCCTGCCTCCTACAGTCACAGAGAAAAGCTCATCTCTATCCTCTCTATAATTGCCATTCAGGTATTGAAGACTGTTGCTATCAAATCCTTCCTCAGTTTTGTCTTCTCCAAACTAAATAACCCTAGCTTTTCAGCCTTGCTTCATAAGTCATGCTTTCCAGGCCTCTAATCATAGATGATTATGCACTGGTGATTGATTATGCAATATCAACAGCAGAAAACATTTTAGAGGAAGATTCTGATTAAGCATACAACATATGCCCATGGCATTCACATACATTCAGTTAATTTCACATAAAAAGGAAGGGGTTCGAATGTCAAGCTCAGAAGTTATTCTCATCCTCACTCCAAAGAAGGGATGTGATTTAGCAGCATAGAATAGAATTGGTATAATGAAACAAGTTAGTTAATTGTTTTACTAACAATTCTTAGTTTACTGACCCTCTAAAGACTTCACATTTTTACTTGCTTTATTGAAAGAGGAAAAGTAAATTACACTTACATGTACTTATCTTTGTAGAGTACTATATATTTTTATTTTTGTGCATTTAGTTACCTAAAAAAAGAGGGTTTTTTTGTATGAATGCTTAGTTTTGCCTCATACCGATAATGGGTTGTTACTGTTGTTTCCAGAAGCCAAATAATGAATATTAGCATTTGATGTCTGTCTTAGTACCAGCATTCAGAATCATATAATTACATTATATACATTATACAGACAGCAAAGCTAACCTATTTAACAATTTCTTTGCCTCCGTTTTTCTGAGCAGGGACCGGGTCACCCCCTCCACCGGGACCCCTGTAGGTCCCAGGGGAGGCGCGCCCAGGCCTAGGGTCAGGGAGGATCTAGTCGGGGAACTTCTGGAGGGACTGGACGTATTTAAATTAGCAGGTCCTGATGATCTCCACCCCAGAGTGCTGAGGGAATTAGCAGAGGTAATTGCGGGACCCCTGGCACGGCTTTATGAGCACTTGTGGTGCTCTGGCTTGGTGCCAGATGACTGGAAAAGGTCCAATGTGGTTCCCATTTTCAAAAAAGTAAGGAAGGAGGACTCAGGAAACTATAGGCCAGTCAGTCTTACCTCACTCCTAGGTAAGCTTTTTGAGAGAATTATCCTGGCGCATGTCCACGAGGGGCCAGCAGGGGAGATTATGCTTAGCGGCAACCATCATGGGTTCATTAGAGGCAGGACCTGTCAGACCAACCTGGTGGCCTTCTATGACCAGGTCACAAAATCCTTAGATGCAGGGGTAGCAGTGGATGTAGTCTTTCTGGACGTCAGGAAGGCCTTCGACACTGTCTCTCACCCCATTCTCATTAAAAAACTAGGAGACTGGCGTCAACACCTACACAGTCAAATGGGTCGCTAACTGGCTGGAGGGCTGCACCCAGAGTGGTGGTGGATGGGTCTTATTCGACCTGGAGGGATGTGGGCAGTGGGGTCCCCCAGGGCTCGGTCCTTGGGCCCGCACTATTCAACATCTTCATCAGCGACTTGGACGGGGGTGTAAACACCCTGTTCAAATTCACAGATGACACTAAGATGTGGGGAGAAGTGGGCACGCTAGAAGGGAGGAATAGGCTGCAATCAGACCTGGACAGGCTACAGGGGTGGGCGGATGAGAACAGGATGGGTTTCAACACTGACAAGTGCAAGGTGCTGCACCTGGGGAGGAAGAACCAGCAGCATACTTACAGGCTGGGGAACTCCCT